CCAAGCTTGTAAAGCATAAGGTAGTATTGAAACGATTATAGGAAAAGCTCAATTTGTAAGGTAGTCTTGAAAAGATCACTTTGTAAGATCCCACACAGGAAGAGATTCAGCTAGCCTCAAAGAGTGTCCATCAGTCAGGAAGAGATTCAGCTAGCCTCAAAGAGTGTCCATCAGTGAAGAGATTCAGGTATTCTTGAAAATATCAATGAACAACACCACCATGGAAGCCGCTAACACTGTTCATCTATGCTACTTGTATCAGATGCATCATCACTGAACGCAGAAAACGATTCATCTATGTATCATCTATATAAATTCGAGATGGCAAGGGTGGGGCTCAGAGCTACAACTGGATACGCTCGCTGTATCATCCTCATAGGTGCTGTATCACTTGCATCCGACCGTTGTGTTAAGCCCTTATTGCGCCTAGCTTCACCAATATTATGACCCTTATGTTCTTCAAACAATAGGGTCTGAATTGCACCGACTGAGCACAGTCTTTCAACACCGTGTGGGACAGGTGTTTGAGAGCCAGAGGCACGTGTGCTACAAATGGTTGCTCACGCAGTACTAACCCAGCCAGCAGCCCTTGTCTTTCATATTCGTTATAGCAAAAGGTTCGTTCAGTGTTTGTTGGGTAGGCTGCTCCATTATGACAATCTTTCTTTGTTTCAAATGTGTTCCATTTGTTTTGTATTTGTCACTTACGTCTCAATAATGGAGCAGCCTACCCGACAAACACTGAACGAACCTTTATGGCATTTGTCCATTTTTCAAATTGTTTCAACAGTTCTTTTATTTTTTTTTTTTTTTTTTTATTTAAGAAACATGGAGCAGCCGACCTGTAGACCACCGAACGAACCTTTTTGACATTTGTACTGGTTTTCAAAATTCTTCATTTTTTTATTATTTACGTTTTTTGTATGTAAGAAACATGGAGCAGCCTACCTGCCGACCACCGAACGAACCTTTTGCTATAAGACAAATGAAAAATAAATATTGAACACATTTGAAGAAAGGAAAATGTCATAATGGTTTATTCAGTGTATGTAAGGTAGGCTTCTCCATTATTGAGACGTAAATGACAAATACAAAACAAATGGAACACATTTGAAACAAAGAAAGATTGTTATAATGGAGCAGCCTACCTGCCGAACACCGAACGAACCTTTTTGACATTTGTTGTATATCAGACATTTCATTTCTTTTTTCCTACAAAAACGTCAATGCTTTGCAACATCTCAGCAGTCACCCTTTTATATCCCAGCATCATTAGCATCTTTAAACAAGAACAACATAATTTATGTGCATCGTCGGAGGCGTCTAAGAATGTGCAAGAAGCAGCGCGACCCCACCATGTGGTGTTGACGTTACTCAAACCAGCGTTCGTCATACGGGACGATTTGACGCCGATCGGGCCGTTCGTTACCCAAAATGTTTGTCTTTTGGGGCAATCGTTATGCGAGGTACCACTGTAATCTGTCTGGAAAAATGAGAGCAATAGCTGGTACAAGAGTAGACAAATGGGGTACACTTTTCTCCAGCATTTACAATGAAGCATTATTTCCTGGCATGCAATATTTTCTTCCTTCCACACTGTTCTTCCAACAACTACCTTCTTATTACGTCCTTTACTTTCCCGTAACTTGTGACTTTCAATGGCTCCTTGTACTACAGTATATCATTTGAACCTGCCAAAGAAACCCTTTTCACACTGGGAAGCCGGTCGGCCGTGCGGACAGCACGCTGGACTTATGATCCTGTGGTCCCGGGTTCAATTCCGGGCACCAGCGAGAAACAATGGGCAGAGTTTCTTTCACCCTATGCCCCTGTTACCTAGCAGTAAAATAGGTACCTGGGTGTTAGTCAGCTGTCACGGGCTGCTTCCTGGGGGTGGAGGCCTGGTCGAGGACCGGACTGCGGGGACACTAAAAGCCCCGAAATCATCTCAAGATAACCTCCAGTATATTTATCATTTGAACCTGCCGAGTAAACCCTTTCCGTGCGGTAAATTCTCAGTGCAAGCAATGGGTTTCTGGATTCCCAGAATCAACCTTAACAAGATAGACAAAACAAGATGAGTGTGTGCCTTGTGCACCTTCAACAAATGTTCAGATTTGAAGATGACGATGAAGATGATGATATGTTCAGGTAGGAGTCAAAAGAGAGAACGCTTTTCAGAAGCAACACAAACATCATCGTTCAGAACTTCTCTGGACAACAATATTTTTTAAGCCCGGTTTTGAGTTTTCAGATTTGGACAATTTAAAAAAAAAGATGCCAAGTTAATGCAGAATATTGGAGAAAATTATAACATGTCCCCAGCAGGTTTAATTATTGATGTTATAAATCTCGGAGCTACCAGAGCTGAAATTATTTGGTCTGACCTGTAAAAATCCTTAACTGAACTCATTAGTCAGAGATCGTGGGGTGACCCTTTGGAAATACAGCTGGAAACCTTATTAAAAATAATTGTAAAAAATCTGATAGCAGTGTCTAGGCAGAGATGGGGGAGCAAAACAAGTAATGAAGGGTTCCATTGATAATGGAGCCTGAGAACAGAGCTCCTTTATGCAGTCTATGTGAGAGGAAGGTAAGGGAAGGTGAAAAGACCAGAAAGAGTCTCCTCCTTAAATGTCAATAAATGCAGAATAGATGGGCAGGGTAAGTTCACTTTGAGCTACACAGAGGTGTAGGGTAAGGGAAGACATTACATTAACCACTGCTAACCACTGCTGCGCCACCTAACAAAACATGGGGTATGGTGGAGCGCCATCCGACACGTAAGCGATGTTAGGATATCTTATGGATTCAAAACAAGAGCACAGTAGGTTGGGTATGAGGTGGACGCGTGAGACCTCCAGTGAGCAGCAGCCATCTTGAAAAAAAATTCCCAGCAAGCCCCAGGGCCACAGGTTGGCTCAGTTCTGAGTGAGCCACCATAGCTGGCACACGCACCTCCGGCTCCCAATGTTGAACGTGGTGTCAAAAGATGGCTCTCTGATGTTGGAATTCAGACCATATTGTTTGAAGAAGATAATGGTAGTGATATTGATGAAGCAAGGCACGATAAAGACCTAATACAAGTGTCATATACAAGTGATGAGCACAATGAGGACAATACAGCGAGTGTATCCAGTACAGGGTGAGCGCCAGGCATGCTGCGGCCTCTCAGATCATCGCCCTTGCCATTATCATCACCACCTGTGTCACCTCCAATTTTTAAAAAAAATGATACTATAGACAAATAGAACAAATCAACAAATCTACAAGAGCCAAAGGGCATAGGTTTGAACCCTCATCAAGGTCCTTGTGGATTTGTTCATAAGATATATCGCGTTATTTTGATTTTTGTGTGTACTGAAGTCAGAGGTAGAACTATTTGGTTGACAGAGTCTGAGTGCACGAGGGGAATTGTGTGAAACCCCGGGTAGTCTTCATTGGAAGCCTCGGGATCCTCATAGGGGCAGCAGCACTCCAGGTTGCAATTCTTTTGACCATGTCATGGTACAGTTGACTAGATCGCATCTGAGAACATCCAGCGCATAGGTTCAAACCCTCAGCAAGGCCCTTGTGAATTTGTTCATTTGACACATCACGTTATTGTGATTTGTGTGTGTACAGATGAATCGTTTCTGAGGTTCAGTGATGCTGCTCCTGATACAAGTAGCATAGATGAACCGAGAGTTAGCGGCTTCCATGGCGGTGTTACTATGGCAGTGGTGGTGATGCCAGTACAAGGAACACGGGTGAATTTGTAAGGGAGGACTGTAACAAATTTTGGACCACACAAACCACAATTTGATGATATTGATGTTGGGGTTGCAGCCACTTTACCATATACAGGTTATCTTGAGTTGATTTTGGGGCTTTAATGTCCCCGCGGCCCGGTCCTCGACCAGGCCTCCACCCCCCAGGAAGCAGCCCGTGACAGCTGACTAACTCCCAGATACCTATTTACTGCTAGGTAACAGGGGCATAGGGTGAAAGAAACTCTGCCCATTGTTTCTCGCCGGCGCCCGGGATCGAACCCGGGACCACAGGATCACGTGTCCAGCGTGCTGTCCTCTCGGCTCCCTCCGGCCGATGAAGATACGAGTGAAAGTGAATACTTTATGACTTACAGTATTTTGATTAGTCATTCATGCAATATCTTGTTGACAAAACCATCAGGTGTGCAGTGGAACTTATTGCAGGTGGCTTATTACCTGCTTCACGTACGATACGTTGGAAAGACACCACTGTGGCTGAATTGTGTGTACTTACCTAATTGTACTTACCTAATTGTGCTTGCGGGAGTTGAGCTTTGGCTCTTTGGTCCCGCCTCTCAACTGTCAATCAACTGGTGTACAGATTCCTGAGCCTACTGGGCTCTATCATATCTACACTTGAAACTGTGTATGGAGTCAGCCTCCACCACATCACTGCCTAATGCATTCCATTTATTAACTACTCTGACACTGAAAAAATTCTTTCTAACGTCTCTGTGGCTCATCTGGGTACTAAGTTTCCACCTGTGTCCCCTTGTTCGTGTTCCACCCGTGCTGAAGAGTTTGTCTTTGTCCACCCTGTCAATTCCCATGAGAATTTTATAGGTGGTTATCATGTCTGTGTGTTCTTAACTCTGTGTCTGCTTAAGAAACGTTCCATGAAACATGTAATACAAGATTATTGGAACAAAGACTGCGCTGTTCTAAGCCCAGTGTTCAACAAGAACATGTGTGAGACAGGTTCCTGATATTTTTACAGTGTCTACACTTTGAAAACATTGCAAATGTTGATAGAAACTATTGACTTTGGAAAGTGTGAAGCGTTCAGTGATATCAGACAAAAATTACTTTAAGAAGATTTGTACGGAAAGATAACCAGATTAAGCATGAACTGCATTTACACTTTGACAATACAAGCAATGATGATTAAAATATGTATCAGAAACCTTAAAACCTTAAACTTTCTACACGTAAATATTTAAAAATAAAGACATATAAAAGTAAACGAACTTCAAAGTTGTCCTTACTGCCTTCCTGTCGAATCTGTATTGCAGCTTTCCCTGCTGCAACAGGTGTACTTGGCCTAACCTGGAAAAAATATATAAAATGTACTTTGAATGTTTATGAGTTTATAAAAACAAAGTATATTAAACTAGAAATTTTAAATAGCCAAAGAGTTCTAAAAAACCCAGCGTTGAATGCAATGAAACTCCTCTTTCTGGCAAAGCCCCAGTGGTTTCGCAAAACACGCTAACATTGTTCCTAGTTACTCGGTCACATCAGTCACGGGAGTTCTAATTGACCTTACGGAAACTGGGGCCAGAATCTGTCCCCTCTAACAGAGGCACTAGAGCGAGTGACATTCCAACACTTCACTGGGAAAGCATCCAGAAAGTTAGTGAAGTATCACAGGCAAATGCAAGTTTCACAGAAAATGAAGCCTATAAAAGGCCAAACAGATCTCCAAAGAAAAGACCAGTCTCCGTGGTGTAGTGGTAAGACACTCGCCTGGCGTTCAGCGAGCGCTTTGTCATGGGTTCGTATCCTGGCTGGGGAGGATTTACTGGGCGCAAATCCTTGGTACCTTAACTGTAGCCTCTGTTTAACGCAACAGTAAAATGTGTACTTGGTTGTAAAAACGATTCTTCGCGGCGGCGGGTCGTATTCCAGGGACCTGCCCGAAACGCTACTCGTACTAGTGGCTATACAAGAATGTAACAACTCTTGTATATATCTAAAAAAAAAAAATCGAAACTATCTTGAACCCATTAGTATGAATAACCACCCCTAGGTAGCCCAGAGCCCAAGACCCCCTCCTTTCCTAATGCCAACCCTCTCAGGTCAGTTCTGGAGCAGATGAACAAAACACCAACGAACCAACGCAACAGGTAGGAAGGAAGGGAAGTGAGAGAGGGGGGGGGGGGGAATCACCAGGGCTCTACCAGAAAGAGGGGTTTTGTTATATACCAGTCTCTGTGGTGTAGTGGTAAGACACTCGCCTGGCGTTCCGCGAGCGCTTTGTCATGGGTGCGTATCCTGGCCGGGGAGGATTTACTGGGCGCAAATCCTTAACTGTAGCCTCTGTTTAACTCAACAGTAAAATGGGTACTTGGTTGTAAAAACAATTCTTCGCGGCGGGGATCGTATTCCAGGGACCTGCCCGAAACGCTATGCGTACTAGTGGCTCTACAAGAATGTAACAACTCTTGTATATATCTCAAAAAAAAAAAATATTCAATGCTGGGTTTCTGAGAAAGCCCCATAATGGTTCCCTAAAGCAAACCATAGAGGGGGAAAACAGGGACTTACCTGTGAGGAGAAAAGATGGCAGGTACAGTACTAAAACAAAAGACAGGTGAAAAACACAAACCAAAGCAATACAGGAATGACAGGGGGGGAGCAGGATAGCGGCCAAATATCAGGCTGCCATGACTTATTAGACTAGCAAAACCCCGAGCCCAAAAACTGATCCAAGATATCTTGGAAAAACTGCAGCAAGAACAGCATATTTACAAATATCATGGGGCCCAGAGGTAGCCAGCAGGCTGGCTAAGCTTAATAACAATGTAGAGAACTTGGGAAATGCGAGCCATGGAACAGAAAACCAAGGAAACAGAATCGATCCATAAAGCATACACCGAGGCAGAATCAGTGGTATGCAGCTAGCGGCAAAAAGCCACCACTGGACACAAAAAATTATGCACCCTTCAGTTGAACCAACCATCAATAACTCAAGGACCCCTTATGGAAGCTTCCCAGCTCATGCTTCCCCAGAAAAAAGTAGGCAGCTGCAAGTGAAGAAACTGCTCACCAAGGCCAAAAGAACAGAACTTCCACCTCTGGAGAAAAGCATGAAGCTCCTCAATCTGTAAGCCAGAGGCAAGAGCCTCGAACACGGTCGAACCAATCTCGTCCCATCGGTGGGTGTCTTGGCCGTTTCTGATCCTGAAACAGGATTAGGATGAATTAAAGGTCAGCCCAATATTTTGCATAACCACTTTCCCCCTTTTTTAGTCACCCCGCGCGCCACCCCTCGACAGGGCGATATGGGCCCCAGCGTGTCATGGAAGCGCGCGTTAATTCCGAAAAGTGTATACTCTCTTCAACTTTGTCACCTCAATTCTCCCTCTAGGATAAAAGCATTGTGTTCGCAATAAAATTCTCTACAGCACTAAATGCATATAAACTCCAAAAGCCCGGCTAATTACCCGCAGCAAACAGAGAAAGTGCGAACGAGTTACCCGGGAGCGCGCAAACGGGATAAAATGTTTTCACTATTTTCACTCTGGTCACCTCAATTTTTGTCCTAGGTCTTTCATTTTGGTCTCAATGGGTTCGTAATAAAATTCTCTAGAGGAACATTGTTTCTAAAGCCGCAGTAAGAAATATAGCCACGGGAAATAGCCGAATGTTCACACGTTTGAGATGCGAGGGGAGGCGACATTGGTCCACAGTGGATCACAAGTCCCGCGTGCTGTCCGCTCGCCTGACCGAGGCTCCAAAAATGGGAAGAATCGGCGCACATAAAAATTAAAGGTCAGCCCTGATTTTTGGCGAATTTTTAAAGTGGATATTTTGCATAACCACTTTGGCCCCCCTTAAGACTGTTGGTCCAGAGTTCACAGATTCGTGGGAAAGTTGCCATCCATCATATGATAATTTCACTCGGTGAAATTAGCCTACAGAGCTTGGGAAATATTAAGGTACGAATGGTAACTTTATTAATAATGCTAAAATTATGTTTCTAATGATTTTCATAGATGGATGCAACACTAAAAGAAAGCATTGGAGCCTTGGGAAAGCTATCAAGGATATTTTTTTAAACAAAATTCTTTGGTTCGTTTTCATTTCCAGTTGTAGCGATTTTTATTCGCTAAAATATGGGCATTCTCGTTCCCCATCCAAATCCTCTTCAAGAATTTCAACTCCTTATTCCCCCTCCCCTCTCCCCTCTTCCCTGCCTTCTCCCAACTTTTTGGACATTGACCAGACCACACACTAGAAGGTGAAGGGACGACGATGTTTTGGTCCGTCCTGGACCATTCTCAAGTCGACTGACCATTCACAATCAACTTGAGAATGGTCCAGGACGGACCGAAACGTCGTCGTCCCTTCACCTTCTAGCGTGTGGTCTGGTCAACTTACTTTAGCCACGTTATTGTGACTCATCGCCTGTTTTTGGACATTGATTGCAATTGGGCATTCTTCCTGTTGAAATGAGATTTCAAAGTTGGAGCTTGAGATATATGCAAGATGTGATGAAATCACATATTACACAAGTTTCCTTGGTTTTCCCATAAAAAACTTCCTTTGAAAATGAGATTTCAGGAATGGGGGCATGGGAAATATGTTACATGTCGTGAAATCTCTCTACAGGTTCTCTTGGTAGTGGTCCTTCATATATTGGTTTTAAAAATTTCTTTCACTGAAACCAGCCCATAGAGCATCGGAAATATTAGGGTATGAATGGTAACCCTCTTAATATGGCTCCAATTACATTTTTAAGGATTTTTATATATGGGAGCAACATTTGAAGAACAAGACACGGCAGAAACAAGGTTATCTTGAGGTTATCTTGAGATGATTTCGGGGCTTTTTAGTGTCCCCGCGGCCCGGCCCTCGACCAGGCCTCCATCCCCAGGAAGCAGCCCGTGACAGCTGACCAACACCCAGGTACCTATTTTACTGCTAGGTAACAGGGGCATAGAGTGAAAGAAACTCTGCCCATTGTTTCTCGCCGGCGCCTGAGATCGAACCCAGGACCACAGGTTCACAAGTCCAGCATGCTGTCCGCTTGGCCGACCGGCTCCCCGGTCATACCGGCAAGGTACTTTTGTCTTAAAAATTATCTCTTAATTGCCTCCAGAAGGTATCTCCTTTTTGCCTCGAATCCATCACTTCAACGAATCAGGGTTGGTTTCATAAAGTTCGCTAAATCAAGGTTACACTATACTGTATTTAAAGGTCTTATCACCTTGAGTGTAAATTTGTAATACCTGTACGGTAAAGTACACTTATCAAATCATTTTCTCCTCAAATCAAATAAAAAAAAATCAAAATGTTTATTCAGGTAAAAGTACATACATACAAGATGAGTTACAAACATAATGTTGGAATTATAGATAGAGCTAGTACACACAATACCTAAAGCCACTAATACGCACAGCATTTCGGGCAAACTTCCTGTTGAAATTTGTAAAATATGTTCACTACAGAAGAATTGATTAAAGTCATATCTGAACCTCGTATAAAAATTCCATGTGACGCTACTCACCTGGATGGTCTGATGAGTCATCATATGACCAGGAGGCATGACATGAGGAACGGTGGATGGTGGCACCATGCCAGATACACTGCCAGAATATGACGGCACAGAACTCATGTGGCCACCAGCACCAATGCTGCTGCCTCCGCTACCTCCGCCTCCTTCCATACCTGACAAAATTACACAACCAATAAACTTTTGAATAAATCAGACCAATAACTGAAGTGCAGGCGATGAGTCACAATAACGTGGCTAAAGTATGTTGACCAGACCACACATTAGAAGGTGAAGGGACGACGACGTTTCAGTCCATCCTGGACCATTCTCAAGTCGATAGTCCTGGACCATTCTCACAATCGACTTGAGAATGGTCCAGGACGGACCGAAACGTCGTCGTCCCTTCACCTTAGAGTGTGTGATCTGGTCAATAACTGAAGTTTTTTTTTTTTTTTTATAAAGACCGATATTATGATGGTTATTTATAAAGACCATATACGTACATCATTATGTAGCTCCTACCAAGAATAAGCACTCAGCGGTTCAAGACACTGTGAAAGTGCGAGTGCTGAGGGAGTTTAGGCACTCCACTTAAGCCCCATTCCATGGGCCAGATTCACGAAGCAGTTACGCAAGTACTTAAGAACGTGTACATCTTTCCTCATTTGGTAACATTTACTAAACAGTTTGCAAGCATGAAAACTTCCCAATCAACTGTTGTTGTTATAATAAACAGCCTCCTGGTGCTTCAGAGCTCATTAACTGTTTAATAATTGTAAACAAAGTAACCAAAGATCGAGAAAAGATGTACAGGTGTGTAAGTGCTTGCGTAACTGCTTCGTGAACCTGGCCCCAGGTTCCCAAGGCCTGGTGGATGGCTGTGTGGTGGTGTTGGAAGCCAATTTACACTTATACTATGAAGACATTTCCTTTATGGTGGTGTTCATAAAGGTTTATGGTTCTTATTTATAAACATCATTTAATACGTTATAACTCTTTATAACCTACCTGTATTTCACTACACTGTATTCCAAAAAATAACATACATATTACAGTAAAGTATTTAAACGCAACAAGCTCGAGAAGATTTGCTATAATAATGTCAGTCAAATTGTATGACATCTCTGATGCTCTGTATCTGATGGAAATTTCCGTCTCTGGTAAGAGCCTAAAACTGTACTCCCTTGAGCGCAGGCGGGAGAGGTACATAATAATTTACACGTGGAAAATATTAGAGGGGCTGGTCCCAAACCTGCACACAGAAATAACATCACATGAGACCAGAAGACATGGCAGGATGTGCAGAATACCCCCATTGAAAAGCAGAGGTGCAACAGGTACTCTGAGACAGAACTCTATCAACATCAGAGGCCCGAGACTGTTCAACACGTTTCCACTACACATAAGGGGCATAACTGGCCAACCCCTCACAGTGTTCAAGAGAGATCTGGATAAGCACCTCCAAAGGATACCTGATCAACCAGGCTGTGACTCATACGTCTGGCTGCGAGCAGCCGCGTCCAACAGCCTGGTTGATCAGTCCGGCAACCAGGAGGCCTGGTCGACGACCGGGCCGAGGGGCTGCTAAGCCCCGGAAGCACCTCAAGGTAACCTCAAGGTAACCTCAAGGTAACCTCAAGGTAACCTCAAGGTAACCTCAAGGTAACCTCAAGGTAACCTCAAGGTAACCTCAAGGTAACCTCAAGGTAACCTCAAGGTAACCTCAAGGTAAGGGTGATCAAATATATCGTCATATTTGTTAATATTTCTAATGCTTTTGAGTGATGAGGACTTTTGAAGAGACAGTTAATACATTTACCAAAAATTTTAACTGCTACAAGTGATGCAGTCATGTTTTTGCTACAATTGGGAAACGTAAACGCATGGTGAAAACGAGAATTGCCTCGACAAACACACATATACGAGCAGTGTGGAAACTACCTCACACAAACTCTGGTCCAATAAGAATTTTCACAATACAATGCTAATTGGAGAAACTACAATGCTGCAGTGCTTAAATGAAGGTGATGGAGAGACCCAAAATATGTGAAAGTGTACTAAAAACAAAATCTTCGGATAAAACCTACATCTTTTCTCAAGGTGCTGTATACAATGTTCTAAAAAAAGATTCTAGGAGCTTGCACAATAACAGATGCAGGGGCTTGACAACTGAGTGGACAGCGCTTCGGATTCGTAGTCCTTAGATTCCAGGTTTGATCCCCGGCGGAGACAGAAACAAATGGGCAGAGTTTCTTTCACCCTGATGCCCCCTGTTCACCTAGCAGTAAATAGGTACCTGGGAGTTAGATAGCTGCTACAGGCTGCTTCCTAGGAATGTGTAACAAAAAGGAGGCCTGGTCGAGGATTGGGCCACGAGGACGCTAAGCCCCGAAATCATCTCAAGATAACCTCAAGCAATAGTGATTGTTGCATCTGTCATTGTGGACATCATGTGTTCATCCTCCAGGCTACTGAACTATTTAAACCACTTGCTCATATATACTGTATGTAAAAACTTTAAAACGAACTCAAAGCTGACAAATTGTTATACAAATAATCACGAGGAAAGTAGCCAGAAAGTAGAAGAGACAACACACACACAACTGCACGGTTCACTCAAAACGAAGCACCAGTGCAGACAACAGACTCGGAAAAAGATTCACTCGAAACTCTCTTGTTCACTTGAAACTAGGTATGAAACACTTCCTAGTGCAGAGCACCACCAAAAAGAGATGTCCTGGGTTCAAGGCCAATGACTGCTTAGTTTCGAGTCTATAGACCATGATGCAACGTACCTAGTAGCAGCAAATTAGTCAGGGAGCCACGAGGGTTTATCCAATGAGGAGCATTTCATTACATTCAATGTTAGTTTTTTAGGTGGAGCCCATTGGTGGCTCCCTGACAGCTAAGGAGCCTGACAGCTGAGTGGACAGCACTTTGGATTCGTAGTTCTGAGGTTCCGGGTTCGATCCCCGGTGAAGGCGGAAACAAATGGGCAGAGTTTCTTTCACCCCTGATGCCCCTGTTACCTAGCAGTATATAGGTACCTGGGAGTTAGATAGCTGCTACCAGCTGCTTCTTGGGGGTGTGTAACAAAAAGGAGGCCTGGTCGAGGACTGGGCCGCGGAGACGCTAAGCCCCGAAATCATCTCAAGATAACCTCTCTGAAATTAACTAACAACAGAGGAAGTAAACTTGATTATTACCAGGGAGGAAAGGCAGCATCTCATAGAAGAGATGCCGGGCCAGGAAATCCAGCCAAGGGCAACACAAGCCCGATTGGGACCAGGAATATTGACCTAATACCGGGCTGTCAATACCCTGTGAGAACTCCAGAATCCCCAAGCCGAAACATTACTCCTCGATTCAAAAGGTGACACCCCTAGGGTCAACACTTGCATCAGAGGAGCTCCAGCATATTTCAACAATCCTAAGTATTGTAGTACAGGTTGATGATAGTAAGTGGTGTCCCAGAGAACATTAAGGAATAGTGCTTTTGAAGAATAGGTGAGATAACTGGAATGTGTTAAGGGAAGTGAAATAGTGGATGAGAAAAAGTTGCCCTAGTGTTTCCAGTGCAGAGAAGAACATTCAAGATGGCCACCGGCAAGAGGAAAAACAAAACAGAGCTTGATTTTGTAGGATTCAATGAAGAAAGCATTGATATCAGCAGTCTACACAACAAGTTGGTAAAACTATAGTGAACTCTCATGTAGAAATAATTAGTAAATTGAAAGAAAGTAATGACCATTTGAATAGTAAAGTTTTATGTCTTGAGGATATAGTGAAAGACTGGTGCAAGGATAAGAATCAATTGGAAACAAATTGCAAAGTCATGGTAGAAGAAAATAAACTCTTAAAAATAGCTTTGGAAGAAGTTAAAGTAAATTTAAACATAAATGACTACAATAGGTTAGGTAAGGAAATTCAACAGGAGAAACAGCTTTTGTCAGCACAGATGGAGGAAGTTACACAGGGAATAGAACAGTGCAAGAAAGACATGCAACTCACCTATGCACAAGTGGCCAAGGAGAAGGAAAAAATTGAAGAAGCTGTAAAGGAAGCCAAACACTGCAGCAACCAACATAAAAAAAAACATTAGGCGGGAAGTGAGAAAGGAATTGGCATCAAATCTGAAGTTGGTGCAAAACTCAGTTGATCGGAGTAAGTCCCTGATAATTTTTGGTTGCAAAGAAAAGGAGATAACACCTAGGTCAGAAAGAGCTATAGAAGATGCGAAAGTAGTAGATAAAATTGTTGGCCTCGTAGAAGGTCTTACTACCATAGAGAATGTGTGCGACTTCAGGAGAATAGGCAGATACGTAACAGGGAAAGATCGACCTTTGAGGTCGATCAAAGGTCGTGCCAATGATCTGTTTGACACCCTAAACGGTGCCAAACAGATGGAAGAAGTACTAAGGAATGCTAGAAAATTACAAAATGATGAGGATGGGAAAGTGTGGCCCTTAAGACGAGATTTTTCAAAAGAAGACAGAGAGAAGCTCAAACTGAACCTCGCCATGGCAAAACGTTTAAATGAGAGCAGGAATGAAGAAGAAATCAATTCTTTTTTCTACAAAGTGTTAGGGGTAGGCAGACCAGTAAAGTGGTACATAAAGGCAAACCAACAAAATCATTAGAGAGAGGGGGAGTGAAGAATAAGGAGAGGGAGAACAAGTTCCTGAAGATTGCATACACCAACATAGATGGAGTGAGATTAAAGATACTGGAGTTAAGTGATGTAATACAGCTGCACACACCAGACATTGTTGCACTCACAGAGACAAAACTTGACGTTATTTTAAATGAGGTCATATTCCCAAGGGGCTACTCAATTTGGAGACGGGACAGAAAAATTAGGAAAGGTGGTGGCGTTGCTGTGCTGGTGAAAGAACACCTAAAGGTGAACGAAATAATGACTGCCAATCCACAAGATGTTGACATCATAGCACTAGAGATTTGCCATGAAGATGATAAACTAATGATCATAAATGCATATAGTCTACCGCCAAGCAGCACATGGTCAAAGGAGGAGCTAGATAGTAAACGAGAAGGTCTTATAACAATAATGAGAGAGATTATAGCGAGAGCAGATAAAGATAAATCACGGCTGTTGACAGTTGGTGACTTCAACTTGAAATCCATAGACTGGAAAGCATATGAAGCTAAAACA